CGCGGAGTCCACACAGCCACACTCGGTTCCGGGACGCACACAAGGGGGTCCGCCGGAGCTGGCGGGAAAGACCTTGGCGAGTGGAAGAGACTTTGGGCTTGGGGACCCGGACTTAGGTGAAAGAGAGCGCCCCGGCGCGTCCACACTTGTCCATCGGGCATCGCGACGTTCAAACAGGAGGCGCGGGATCTGCCGCCCCCCCCCCCCCACCCACCCCACCACCACGCACACACACCACCACCAAGATTCGACAATGCCTTTCGGACGAATCTGCCATAGAGCCGCAGCAGCGAGCAGTTGGCGCCAAACGCACTTTTCCCAAGACGCAACACCTGCTCGACGACATGACGCCGTGTGCTGCGGCGCCCTGGAGCCTCCTTGACGGCGCTGCCCGACTTTCTGCAAGCCGACATTCGATCGCGATGCGGCTGCGTGCGGCTTCAATCTGCGCCGCATCCAGGCCGGCGCTCGCGCCAACGCCGGGCTGGCCCTGGGGCTCCGAAAGTAGTGTCGGTCCGCTGGCAAAGCGCGCCAGTGGCGTGCCTGGGGAAGCGGGGGGCGTCCCAGAGCAACTGGTCTGTCGACGCGCCTTGCCCCCGTGAAGTATGCGGGTGTGGGAGAAGTCCGTCTGAGCTTGCCGCGCTGTGCGTGATCTACGATACCTAACGGCAGTGAGGCCCGTCAATTCGCTGGAAATTTGCCGCCATCATGGGCGCCCCTCGCATCAGGCCGTCGGAAGTGCGCGGGCGCGTTCCCGCCATTCGCGCACAAACTGCGACTTGACGCATTGGGGACGTTGAAGTCCCCTGACTGACGCACTGGCGGGCACATTTCAGGCACGCCCGCTGCGTGGTTTTGGCGCCGCGGCTCCGTCACTTTGCACCAACACTGCTGCGCAGGTTGCCCTGACAGCGAGCGAGCGACCCGCTGCCTTCGCAGCTGCTTGGGAGCAACGGGGGGAAAAGAGCGGAGACCTGCGCAACCAAAGTGCTATCCATCATCATCACCAACAACACTTACATATCGAGGCGAGGAGGCGGCCATCGGCTCCTTGTTTCGCCCGAGAAGACATGACACGTTTCACGGTAACATAGATTACTGCGACAATACAACCACTGCGTGGTTGTCGCACGTCAAAGTGGTTGTCAAAGCGTTGTCGCGCGTCGCGATGACCAGACAATGGGGCGGTCAACCGTGCTCCGCGATACGGTGCAGCATACGAGGTGCGTCTTGTCACTGAACCGCCCACGTGACGCTCGGGCGGTTGGCCCGCCGGAAAAGCTGCACCACCGCCGTGGCTGCCTTCCCTCAGCTTGGGGAAAGGGGGGGACGGGACCAACGGCACCCACGTTCGAATTCCTGTCAGCTCGCTCGCCAGCCTCGAGCCCGTCAAAAGAGCACCGGCCTCGATCGCAGCCGTCGATCGCCCCGCCCGCGCTGCCCGGAAAAGATGCCGCGGACAAGTCAGCGTGCCTGGGGACGCCCCAAATGCCGTCAGCCACGCCGAGCGGGCCCACAAGCCCCTTCCCCAACCCCCTCGGCATTCCCCAGGGTCTTCCCACCCCTCCAAGATCGACGGCGTTCCTCCGATCCCCAGTCTTCCCACAAAACAAGTCCTCCCAACATGCCCCTCGCACCCTCCCCCCCGGCCTTCGGACTCGCTACGCACATGGTTGACGCGATGGGCCCCGGGGCGCAAGTTTCAGGCTGCGCCAAACGATCGGCCCCCCCTCGGCAATGCGGCTGGGCGTTTTGTCGCCTTCCCTTTATTTCGCGGCTCTTCCAAAGCGGGTCCACGCACAGGCGCGCCGCGTCCTTCCATGCCAACACCCGCCTTCAGGTTCCGCGTCCCAAAACACTGGCGTGGCATTCGGGCCACCGCTCGCCCGCCAGCGACGCCAAATCCGGCGTTTGAGCAGATTGGAAGATTTGCAAATCTTCAACCGTCGCAGATCCGTCCCAGGAGAGGCTCAGTTCGCGCCAGCCGCCCTTCCGCGCCCCCAACAGCGCCCACCTGTGACAGGTGCCCTCAGGGCGTCCCCGCCGGTGTGCAATGGGCTCCTGCCGTTGCGCGTCCTGCCCGAGGGCGATGTATCCGCCATCCTTGCTTCCAACGTTCGAGCCATTCTTTTGCGGCTGGACGGCTGCCCTTGGCCGCCGAGGTGCCTGCAGCCCTGTTTTCTCGGCCACGGACGCCCTCCGCGGCTTTTAACAAAGGCGGTGTGGGGAAGGGGGTGGGCCAGGATCGCCCGCCGGGCCCGACGGCGTCCCGGCAGCCGTCGGGACGAATAAGGGTGCGGAGAACAGTCATGGGTGCTCAACGGCAACAACTAATAATTGGCACGTGTCAATAGAAGAGGCACCACGAGGGAGCGAGGGGACGATCAGTAAGGCGTTGTGGGGGAGGATATGACGGTTGAAAGCGAGCATGGGGGTGGCACGGGGGGGGGGCTTGTGTTCTGGGCCGTATGGGGCGACGTGCGCCATGTTGATCGCGAATCGAGGTGTCGAGGTGAATCGATCAGTCATTGCAACGGACACGGATCGACAGCGGGCGGCAGCCAGCGCACTGTCAACTTCCATAGGAAGCGCGCTGGCACGTGCACAACAACCGGACGTGACGGCAGCGGGTTTTGCAGCACCACATAATCCCGCGGCGTTTGTGCAGCGACGCGAGGTGACATCGGGGTCCCGATTGGCAGCGCTGCCATTCGGGACTCCGAACTGCCCCACCAGGCTGGCAGCCGGGTGCGTCACTCATTCCGCTCAAGCTAGTTGTTCTCTGCGCGCCTGTCCCGTGTTCGTAAATGAAACGCTGCAACAATGGATTGGCTGCATTCTCGCGTGGGCGCCCTGCCATTTTGATGAAGGCCAGCTTTTGGGACTGTAGGCGAGGGTGCTCGCAGGAAAAGCAAAGGAAGGGATGAAAATACTGAGCACCGCTTTGGTCCGGCGGGTGAAGAATGTCGCCCCCGAATTCTATATTGGAAGCACATCGTAGTCACATGGTTTCGATATTGCGATAGTGCAGTGATTGCCCTTGTTCGCCGAAATCGTCGCCCTATGGAAGTACGAGTCGACGTCGGAGCGGCATCTGGAAGTTTAGATTATTTAGATATTGACTCAATTGTCTGTGTACAGTACCGTTCATGCAACGACAAATAATGCTGCAGGAAAGTGGTGTATGTGCTTGGGAGCAGGGCTGGCAACGCATGAGAGCTTGTCAGATTCAGTGAACATTGGCAAAGCGTTCAAGGGCGAGTCGGAGCTGCATCTGGAAGTCCTGTAGATATTGACTCAATTGTCTGTGTATAGTACCATTCACGCAACGACAAATAATGCTGCAGGAAGTTGGTGTATTTGCCTGGGCCCAGCGCTGGCAACGCATGAGCGCTTGTCAGTTTCAGCGAACATTGGCAAGCGTTCAGCGTTGAGCACTGCTCACAATTTTGCCCTTGTTGAAGCCTTGCCGGACATTACGCCAACGGCAATTTAGGCACAACATTGCATGAGCGTCCCCATTTCCAGATGTGGAGATGGCTTAATGGACAGACCTCCTTGGGGCCACCTGCGCAACCTGCACCGTACAGGCAACGTGGGCGTGCGCGAATATGAGCGTGGCCACATGCAGACGCACGAATACGCACGTTTGCGTTGCCGTGGCCTCAAATTACACTTTTGCCAATGCGCAGACGATGCAATGCCGTATCAAGACAGAAAACAAGTGGCAGACTTGCCCTTGCTTCAATGGCTATTTTCCACCCCGGCAAATCGATATTTCAGCATGAACGACGCCCTAATGTACTGTTCACGGACGCTGCGGCAGTTGCACGTTCTGCGGTGCCAACCTGACGTTTGTCATCCGAGGGAGGAAACGAGTGCCTGGGGCGAGCACTGGGATGCTCAGTGCGCAGGCAACCACCGCGCATCCTCACCTTACTCATCTGAAAGGACCCAGCACGTTTGAAGACGCGTGTTCAAGCATGTAGGCAGAATTTGGCGGGGCCCATTTAGTTTGCCGTTGTACCTCGCGAGGTAACGTGTACCGTTGCCCCTCTCGCGGGCGGCGGTTCGCCTTGGTACCCATTTGAAGAACGTTTTCGTCCCAACGAGGTGGCAGGTACCCACTGCCCTGGTTTCCCCCTTGACGAAGCGGCTTTTGATCGCTGGCCAGGGAGCGGCAGACTCGTCCAATTCTGTACATGTTCCCGTCATCCTCTGCGGCTGCGTTTAGGGGGGTGGGACAAGCTAGCTACTAACGACACCCAGAGGCAGAACTGCATGCCGGTCCCAGGCGTGCTGTACGGCCATGGGGACAGCGCTGGCCGTCCGTGCGAGGGCGCAGGGACGCGTAACCAGCCAACACGTCGCCATCCCATTCCCCGAAGGGCCACGTGGCAATCGCGAACACCTGCCGATGTACGGGGGAACCTCGTCCGCGGATTCGTCAACCGTGGCGAAGTCAAGGCCACTTCACGATTGCGCCGTCCGGCGGCTGATGTGCAAGCCACCGCGGTTGGAGCGGCTGCTGTGGGGGCCCCCTCCACACACCCCTCGACGTCACGCCCGTGCCCGCAGTACACCACGTGCCGTACCGCGCCACGGGGGGTGTATTGGATGCAGCCACGGAGCCAATCACCGGGGCCACCAAAGCCCTCAAGTACGACTGCCAGGACGACCCCTGCCCGCATCCGGGCGCTCAAACCGGCCAGCCTCGAGTCGCCAACTCGAGGCGCACTTCCGGCGGCAGTGGCCAGCCACGCTGCGCAATGCGCCCCACGCCACGCCGCATCCGAAGGCCAGCCGTTGCTCAAACGCTTGCTGCGGTGTCTGGGCACTTTGGGTTGATAAACAGTCTGCTTTACCTGTCGTGAAGCGCCATAAGGGCGGGAGGGAGGGATGGATTGGTGCCCAGGCGAAGGAGCGCCCAAGGCCGTGCCGCGGGATTGACTGGCTGGGAGGGACTTTCCGAAGGCTTGGAAAGTCGAGGGGCATCGGTCATGGCCGGCGATGGTCGAGACTGCGGCGAAGCCATTTGGGTCCACCCTGACGGAGGTACGACGGAATAGGGCGGGGGGTGGGGTGAGGTGTCGGGACCGTCGGCGTGGCGGTCAGGGGGGGGAGGTTGAGGGGAGGAGGGCGCTTGGCAGTTTGGGGTCTGGAACTTGAGGTCCTGCTCGGTGAAGATTTGGCGTCGCGTGGGGAACGTCCGAGTCGTGAGAAATCGCCGTTTCAGGGGCGAGGGGACCTGGCGCTGCGTGCGTTTCAGCAGATCTCCGTTGCGTAGCGGCAGGCCCAGATGGGTTTCCGAGAGCGAACCCGCCACGTGGCCAGCAAAATTACGCAGTGACGGTTGCTGGCGGGGCGCATGGCAACGAAGTGAAAGGGGTGCGCAGCGGGTGACGTTGCGGTTCGAAGTGAAAGAAGAGATCTCTTGGATTGGGAGATTTGCCCTTTCCTGCCCCTGTCCCTGCGGGGCTGGCTGCATACGGAGGGGCGCTTGCCCGCCTGCGGGAAAAAAAAACTTCCCTGCAGCCGGTGTGCTCTGCTAGGCCGGGAATGGTCTGTGGAGAGGGAGGGTCAGGTTGGAGAACATGCCGAAACGAGCACTCTTTCGCTTCCACAATGGCGCTCCATGCTCGTAATTGGCAACTGAGAGCTCACGCGTCTGAGCCCACAGGCCAGGGGGTCCACAGCGAAATGCGTGGCGGCCTGCGTGGGCCAATGTTGCGGTCCTCGGGAAAGTGCGGAGGACGGCAGCCGACCCGCCATCCCCGATCGCGGTTTTCTCGAGCGGCTGCACGGCCCTTGGCCAAGGGCATGTATCGCGTGGCCGTGCCCCGGGCCTGATGGACGACGTCCCGGCGGCGTCAAGTCTTGCGGACGTCACTGCCGAACGTTGCACTCTGTCGCGCCGTTTTGTTCCCTGGAACGGAGCTGACGAGGCCCAAAGCCTGAAACGGGGCCGATCTTGCGAATGGACCGGCTGGCGGAGGTCGCGCGCGACTAGCCTTTGGCCACGCACCGTGCGCCGAACGGAAGGCATCTGAAGCCCTTGGACAGATCGCGGGCGGGCACAGATGTGCGTGGCGCGAACCGGAGGTTGGGGGCGGGGGATCGAACCACCTCTCCGCCATCAGCGCAAGTCTCGCTCAGGCTGCACAGCGCCGAGCAGAACTCTTTCTAGGCGCCGCAAAAACCGCGGCCAACTTGGGCGTTCGCGAAGCGACGCCGAGGGTCGATTGTTCCCCAGTGCAAGGGGCGGTGCTTGGGATGCTTGCGAAAGCCATTCGAATCCACACCGGCTAACGTCATGACTACCGCTGGATGTTGGTTCCGTACTCGGTGGTAGGTCATGAGTTGTAGAGCAGGCATGCTCTCAGGGGTCGAGACCAGCGCTGCACGGTGGTAGGTTTCGCAGCCGGGGCGGGCATAGGACGAGCACGTGGTGGGCGTGCTTGCCCGGCGGCGGTTGCGTCATGCAGAAAAGCCGTCCAGGGGCGACGCTTGTACGACATTGGAGCCCCGGTTCTGGCCTCGTGTGGGTGGCGCTCTTTGGCGAAAGGGGCACCCGAGCCGGTGCCTGGATGCGCGTGCATACGACAGGCACAATACCGGGACATGGGCGTGGAAGCGTCTCCGATACGTATGGGAGGGTACGGGGTAAATTCCCCCAAGCCGTGGCCTATACATTGTCCAGCAAACCGAGAAAACGTGCCAATTTTTTTGGCCCGGCGACAAAGGCGGGATGCTGTCGAGCCGACGTGGTACGGTATGGAGCAGGTTCGACGCACAAGGACGGGGTCGATACGATACCAGCGTCAAGGAGTCCAAGTCGTGGCGATCCTCAAGATGCGCACATTCGCGGCCGTTTTACTGGGTGCCAATATATCATTGGATAGTAATAATGAGCTTGAAGGTTTGCTGGCTGCGAGGCAGTTTGTGAACGATGGATGCGATGTACAGTAGGCGTGCCAAGGCACAGTTCAGCAGCCAGGTGTCCTCGTCCGAGCGCAGAAAATGAGTAGACATATTTGTGACACAGTGTACGTTTGGAAAAGCGCCGTTTGAGACTGTATTCATCAAGATGATTTTGGAAGGTCGCTCAGCCCTGTGACGACGAGTGGCGCTGTCAGGTCCTGCAGCAGTAAATGGTCCCATTGGTCGCGTTGCACCAAAAGCGGATTTCAACAGACTGCTGCATAATACGCGAAGGACTGATGCGCAGAATGCAACACGTTCTCCTTTGCAGTTGACTCTCGTGCTAGGAATGTGCTTTCTGATCAGGAAGCTTTACGTGTTTGTATATGCCATTGCATTGCCAGTTTTCACTAGCAAGAAAAGGACCAAATAACATTTTTGCGAACAGATATATTGCATTTCATCAGTGTTCTGCATGCTGAAAACACGGAAATAACCCAGACCCATAATCTTTGTACCCGTTTCCAAACGTGTTATTCAGCCCTTCTTCATAGTGTTCAAATGGAGTTTGTGCAGTACTTCGCATAGATTTCAGCTTAAACATCGTCACTCCAATTGCCGAAACAGGTGCCAGCTGCAACGCAAAGACGAATGTCATGATTGCAGCCGCATTGGTGGGCCCATTCTCCACACAGCTGGCATGTGCTGTCAGTGCAGACATCTGGCAAGGGGTTGCGACACCTGGCATGACCAATGTGTCAAATTTTCCCTTTGCCTACAAGGACGCTCACGCGCGTGTGCTGCCAGGTTCGGGCAGAAGGAGGATCGTGCGTGAGGGCCCGGCCCATGTGGTTCTCATCGACCCGCCGTGCCTGGTGGCCGGGAGGGCCTGCGCTGTTGACGTACGCATGTCGAGGGACGTCGACGCAAAACTTGTGGGAGTGGATAGAGACGGCCAGCCGATGGCCGGCGTGCTAGTGTCGACGGAGGTGGGAAGAAAATTCAGGTGCGCGTGTGCGCGACATTTCTCTGGTAAGATAATGAGACATTTATGAGAAGATAGTTGTATAAAGTATCCCCGTGTTGTACCTGCATACGAGACACAAGGCGAGTGTGTATGCAATGGTTAGTCTGGGGATAAGGATTGCTTAATTAAGTGGTAGAAATACAGTGAATGGTACAGAAATGTGCTTCGTGTTGACTTCCCTGAACCTGAAAATGGCTGTTGCGAATGCGCTTGTTGCTAAAACACCGTTAATATAGCATACCTGTCGTGTTCTTTCGCCATGAAAACGACGATAACACCCAGGCTTACCATTGCCATACTCTGAGTAGGCCTCTGTTAAGAGCCAATTCCCGTAAAGATGACCTTCCGATTCTGCTACGTAACAATAACTGACAAAGCACCATATTCAATTGGTGCCGGGCGCGATATGCTGCAGATTTCTCAAGAAATGAATGGGCGCATAATCGTTGTCCGAGGGAATCTTGCTGCATCCCCAATTGCCATCAACCCACGCATCGAAAACCGACTTTGATGGCTGCGCTCCTTCCAATCAAACATCTTCACACTGCGCATGTCCATACTGCATCGCTGATGACAAGTGTGCAGCGTAAACAGGATCGCTTTCCCGCCACTTCGCAGCTGCAGAGTTCGCCTGATGGTCGACACCAGCTTGCGTGGCTCGTCCGATGAGCCTCCGTGCATCCTGTCGCTTCCAGAAACCGTCGCGCGCGAATTTTGCCACCTGCTTGCGAGAATGGAGGAGGCGGCCAGCCTGAAGAGGCAGAAGCGATCTCACTCTTCTCCCCGCCAGGTGCGCGAATTCGAGCACGAGCCTGAGCGTGAATCTGAATGTGGAAGCGAAACTGCCTGCTTCCTTAATGGAAAGAGCAAACCTGTGACAAGTTGTGTTTTTTCTGGGGCGAACCTGCGAATAGGTAATGCCGCGCGCCGCCTAGTGCTGTCCAGTGTTCTGTGGCGGCAAAAGACCCTGCGCGTAGGCGCCGCTGTGAATAGAATGAGTCATTCGGACACAGCTCATCACCCCAAATTCCAGCGAAGTCAGTGCGTTGGCCAAGATCCCTGGATCGCCAGGTGTTTGAGTTGTTCCGTGTTGCAAAGAAGTGCCAACAAATGGAGATTCTCGTTAGTTGTGTTGTTACGCATGGCTCGGAGTGGGACTATATCGGAGGCAGGCACAGCCACGGGCTTGGGGACACAGCTGAGGGTACAGAGTTGCAGATAGGTCACGGACAGGCATGTCCCTTTATAGTCATACAGCCATCTCTCAACGACGGACCAGTCATTGTCATATCATTCGCCCCCAACACACATAGAACGTCGCCCTCGACGTGTAATCACCTCAACCAAACAAACCAAGGGAACCAGGAAACTGGTAGAAACCATCATCAAAGAAGTCATTCAAAACTTCAGACACTTGGCCAGCCGTCATGTGCGGGGGCCTTGAACACGAGCACAAACCCATCACAAAGGAACATATCGAGAATCAGAGCATCAGCTCAAGAATCCATCAAACGCTTGGCCAGCCGTCATGCGGGGCCTTGAACACGAACACGAAAACCGGTCTCAAAGAAACACATCAAGAGCCAGAGCATCGGCTCAAGAATCCATGGAAAGAAATCAGATTCGGAAAGGAACCATCAAACTCAAGAGCAACACGTCTTGGCGAACCTCGCCACCTCCATGGGGCATCTCAACAACTCGACCTAAGCTGACCCATCGGCGCTCGGTGCGCGCCCCCAACAACAGAGACAATGCTATGCCCAGTGCATTGGAATTGCCACGTAGGCCTCGCTCATGCTGTGCCACATACTCACTTGACACGGCAGTAACCCTCGACCCCGTACCAGTGTGACGGGTCTCCATGTAGGACCACACTGTCAGCTGGCACGAGCTGACACGAGCCGCCGTCCTGCTGACTCTTCATCACGCAACCCTTTCCGCGGGGCCGTGCGTGCTGTGTGCCAAGCACGTGATCTCTCAAACACAGCCATCCACTCAAGTTACCACTTCCGACCAATGGCGTGGCTCACACTCGCCCATCACCGCTCAGTGGTGCCGTGTTGGCCTCCATCGCAACTCTGCCATCGTAACTCCAGCGAACGCACAGCCGCGGCGTTGACGGAACTGACCCGCGCGTCGTCCACCGCCCTCAGTCATGCCTTCGTTGCGCTCGCCTCAGCTCTCGCGCGACCGCTCCATGTCCATCGCTGGATGCTATTCATCACGTCGCCACTCCCACGCACCACAGCATGAGGCGGCACAACGCTCGCGCGCGTCTCGTCGTCATACCATACCACGCAGCTGCATAGTCCTGCAATCCCACCCCTGCCTCGGGTGCCACATGTTACGCATGGCTCGGAGTGGGACTATATCGGAGGCAGGCACAACCACGGGCTTGGGGACACAGCTGAGGGTACAGAGTTGCAGATAGGTCACGGACAGGCATGTCCCTTTATAGTCATACAGCCATCTCTCAACGACGGACCAGTCATTGTCATATCAGTGTCAATGGGTATAATTTTGGAACTTACTGTATAAATGCACAAAATATGCCTTGCTGTGTCTCCTGGTGCCCGCATGTCTTTTCGCATAACGTTATGATACTGAATGTTGCAGGTGCACCTATGTGCAGGTGTGAGTCTGGTAGAGTACTGATAAAGCATGTTATCATTGCGGATTGCCTTAGAATTGATGGGTCACAACCATGTGACTTGATATATCTTCAACTTCCAGAAGCTGTTCACCCGTTAAAGGTGTTCCATCGCCGGCAGGTCTCCAAAAATGGCGCGTTGCATGGCGGGCCCTTAGGACCTGATGGCTCAAGCACAAGGTCGTTCAGAGAAGCGGTGTGGTCGCGGTACTACCAGCCCTTTAGCTCCCATTTCGCGAGCCTCATGGAAGGCCTATCCTCCGCGAGTGGCGAAGTGTCACACAGTGGCTACTCCAAAGGGTGTCACAACGATCACGTAGAAACACCACATCAAGCCTGCTGTAGGGAACCCTGTGGATGCGTGGACGTGCTGCACCAGGGCAGTTCTGGGATGTCGCAAATGAGCTGCGACGGAATCGCCCGCTGGGAGTGCGGAGAGACATATCATCAGGTGGGGATGGTGGCGATGATGATGATGATGGTGATGATGATGATGAGTTTCCATTAATTGCGTGTGAGCCGCCGAGGGCTGTGTCGCCACCCAGCCGTACAATAGCAACACGTCCACTGTTTGTCCCAGTGTTTGCGTGACTCGTGTGCCGACCGTCCGCCTACACGTTGAGCCGTACCAGTCACCCAAAATAAAACCCACTCCCCTGCATCTCACCAGGTGCGCGGGAGGTCACCTCGAAGCTGGTTGGAAGCACTCCACCGGAGCTCCGCCGACATGGCGCACTTCCTCCTCAACAACCGCATGTGGAGCTCCGCGTCCTTCCTCCTTACGGTGTGCGTGCAGAGCGGCGCCTCCGTGACCTTGGGGCCATTCGAGCTGACGGTGGATGACGTGGTTGAGGCTCGGCTGATGAGGTGGTGCTTGAGCTCTTCCGCGGGGATCAAAGGGCTCTCCGTGGGAAGGAAAGCCGGTCCTTAGGGGCTGGGACGCATGGGGGCTACAAAAGCCCCCCCGATGTTTCACTGGTAGTGGTGTAGGGTTTTCGGGCCTCAGTGTATGCAGTAAATGCTCGCAATGCTTGCCGTTTACTGGCTGCTAAGAAGGGAAGCACTGGTAAAATTTTGACAATGCTACACACTGTACAATCTTGTGAAATCTTTTTAAAATCATGTAAAATCGGGTACTTTGAAGCGCTCTCGAAGGAAATGCGGTCGATGCAATTGAAACGGCCCCCTTTGGAGTGCACATCAGAAGCGCGAATCCACGATCGCCGATGCTTCAACGAGTTGGCGCACGGCCAGACGCAAGGCCACGCCACACACAAAACGCCCTGGGCTTACATATTTTTTCACCCTTCCCACGACGAAGAGCTTTGCCGACGGCGGCAACGACACCAGCGACCGAACAGTTCGAATTTTTTTGCACCCACAGAAGTTTCGTTTTCACGTGACAAGGACCATCATCCATCATTAACCAGCCATACCACGTTTCAGAGATGCCCACTCATCGCCACAATACAACCCACTCTACAACACATGTAACTAAAGTGCCCATACACTCAATGGCAATGTAGAAATATTTCAGCTGCAAGCGCGACCTCAACATAACATTTATCTCTGAAGCGGATGGCATCTCCCACAACAATCAAATTGATGCTCAGAAAATTCCCATCACATGACAAATAATTCTGTGAGTTCTAAAACATTTTCTTCTTTCCTTTGTATAAATTCAGAATGCCTTGCGTGCAAACAATATTCTCGAAGTGCATACAAGTTGCACACCATAATGCATAAGTGATCCACCCCGTGAAACGGTGGTCATTATGCGGTGTTGCGAACAGCGCGATTTTACACGATTGATAAAATCGTGTACTTTTCAAGCTGTATAATACACAAGAGCGGCCCACCTTGCCACCATGGACAACACAATAAAGAACACGGTTTTGCACGATTCCAACAGTGTACCAGCAGCAGCCGTGTACTCTGTGATCAGCGCGCGATTGATGCGAGATTTGCACACGATTGTCATACGCATTATCACGGTACACGATTTTCAGGACCGTGCAATTTGGCCATTGTTAGTAGTGAATGGAGAGTGGCGTGTACGGATGATCCCGAAGCATGATGAGGGCAGGAGGTGAGGGTCGTTGAGCGCACGTGCTGGTCGTCGGGCAGTGGGCAGGCCAGTTAATGACTTTGAAAAGCAATATTGGGAGACTTTTCGCTGTGTGAATTCGGGAGACAGGACAGTAGAATTCTCTGCAGAAATAGGTAGCACAAAGCTTGCGAGAGTGAGGGCGGCGTTCAGATGGAACGAATTATGCATGGCGTATGAGATTGCGTGTGCGCCCGTGACTACAGACTTTCCCTCACTTGG